ACGAGGCGCCGCGCGCGCGCGAAGCAGCCCGCGCCGCCCTTGGCCCCGAGGATGTCCGACGACGACGGCGGCGCGACGGGCAGGGACGGCGGCACGATGGCCGGCCGCGACAGCGGCGACACGCAGGACGGCAGGCTCTCGTCGTCGTCGTCGCCGCACGCGAGCCACGGCGGCACGCGGCCGCCGAGCCCCAGGGGCCGGTCCACCGTGCCCCGGAAGGACACGAAGGACGCGTCGTCGAAGTCCGGCGGCGCCGCGGCCTCGGGGAGCTTCGGCTTCGGCGACGGGCCGCCCCACTTGCCCCGGTAGGAGATCTTGCCGTGGAAGCTCCGGAGCGCCTGCGCGGGCGCCGCGCGCTCGCCCGGCCGCACGTAGCCGCAGTCGCGCTCGAGGTCGAGCTCGGGCAGCTCGAGGTCGTGGGTCTGCTTGGGCATGCCGCGGTCCTGGAAGCGGTCGTCGGCGTGGTTCGCGGAGAAGACGGCCTGGAGGTGCGCCGCGGCCTTGTGCGCCGCCGCGGCCTTCTTGAGGTGCCGCGCGACCTGCCGCTTCTTGTCCTTCTTCGCGACGGCGGACGCGACGAGGTTCTGGAGCGCGCACATCTTCGTGTTCCGCGCCCGCAGCTTGCGCACGGCGTTGAGCGCGCGCGCGTTCGCCTGGACGACGGCCTTGCGCCGCGCGAGCTTGTTCAGGCGCACGTACTGCGCCCAGGCCATGACGGACAGCGAGCAGATCCGCAGCCGCGGGCTCAGCGCGTCGAGGCGCTTCTCCTCCTCCATCATGAGCCAGGACTTCTCGATGGCCCGCTCGTTGCGCACGCGGTCCTTCTTGAGCTCGCGCACGGTCTCGGCCCACCTGACGTCGCTCCCGGACGTCGGACGCCTCGAGCGAACGGGTCGCGCGCGCTCGTCCGAGCTCTCGACCCACGGCCGAAGCGTCGCGTGCCCCGGCCGTTTCTCTCGCGTGGAAGTCGAAGGCGCGCGTCCCGCGCGGCGGCGCGCGCGACGAGCATGTCGAGCGCGAACTCCCGGTCCTCCGGCGGGCTGTCGCGGAGGTGGCACGCGCCGGCGTGCATGCCGAGCATCTCCTCGGCGGCGTAGCGCTCCTCGGCCTCGCGCTTGTTCTCCCGGTCGCGCACGGACGGCGGCCGCGAGTTCTTGCGCGTCATGCGCCGCCGCCGGTGCGCGTGCAACCTGCGCGCGGAACAACGACGTCGACGTGAACGTATGCGACGCGACTTCTTTGTGCGCTCCGTCGAGGATTAACCGAGCGGACACGAGCCGTCCAAAAATCAGGAGAAACGACGTCGACGCGACGGAGACGGAGACGGTCGTTTCGGGCGCGGCGCGCGACCGCCGCCGGCTCCGCGGCGTCTCCTTGAGGCCCGCCTTCTCGCAGAGCTTCAGGTGCATCTCGTGGGCGCGCTGCAGCTGCTCGCTCGTGAGGTGGGCGAAGTTGCTGTCGCGGCTCGCCCGGCTGTTGCACTCGGCCATGGCCTGCTCGATGACCTCCGCCAGGTTGCGCGTGGTCCGCTTCAGCGACGACAGCTCCATGACGCGCTTCACGGCGTGCTGGATCGACTTCTGCGTCTGCCGCTGGTCCATGAAGTTCGCCGTGCTCTTGCGCCGGCGCATGGCGGCGGCTGCCGCGGCGTGCGCCAAGCACACAGCCCCAAGCTGGGAGTTTCAGGCTCTCGTTTCGATCCGGGGCGATGATGCAGTGCACAGCACACTGCCACGGTGCCCTCGCTCGCTTTGCCGCAGCCGCAGCTCTCGACGCGATGAAGCTCGAGCGCGAGCTGTCGACGTCCGAGCGCGACGCCTTGCAGGCGTCCATCTCCGAAAAGCTCGCGGAGATCCTCGGCGTCGCCTGCGATCCCGTGCTCGCGGAGTACACGATCGTCCTCGTGTCCAATGGGAAGACGATGGAGGAGCTCCGCGAGGCCATGAACGAGATGATCGGCCCGGACATGTCCGCGTCGCTCGCGGCGTGGCTCGGCGAGGAGCTCAAGCCGCTCGCCGACGCGCCGGCCGCGCCGGCCGACGCCGCGGCGGCCGACGCCGCGGCGGCCGCGGGCGACGACGCGGCCGCGGCGCCCGCGGACGGCGACGACGCGCCGCCGGCGAAGAAGGCCAAGGTCGACGACGGCGAAGCGCCGGCGGGGCCCGTGCTCTCCTACTCGGGCCGCGGCCGGGGCCGCGCGCGCGGCCGGGGCCGCGGCCGCGGCAAGGGCCGGTCGCGGGGCTCCTGGGGCGGCTCCTGGGGCTCCTGGGGCGGCCGCGGCGCCTGGGCCGCGCCCGCGAACAAGAGCTGGGTCAAGCCCGGCAAGCCGAACCTCGACGCCCCGCTCCGCGCGCGCCGGGACTAGGCGCCTCTTAATCGGACCCGGACTTGACCTTGTCCTGGGCCGTCGTGACCGCGAGGACGCCGAGGGCGATCCAGGACAGGATGACGACGCAGTCGAAGAGGATCTTCGACTCGTCGGAGCCGTGCCGCCAGTAGACCGCGCCCGTGACGGACGTCGCGAGGTTCATGACCAACAACACGATGTCGAGGAGCAGGAACGTCTCCGTGCGCCGCTCGAG